TATCATTATTAATTAATATAAATATAAATATTAATATTGTTTATTTTAATAAAATCAGAATAATACACATAATTTAAGGTTTTAACTAATAAAAACTCATTCTATAATAAATTTGAATAATTCAAACAAAAAGCCTTATTTTTTGCCTTTCAATCATTTTTATCAATATCACAAACTAAATTCTATTGTATTGGAATCAAGAAGCCTAAAATTAGATAATTTAATCGGCTTACTTTTAGATCTTTGATATTAAATTTTATAAAATCTTTTTCAAATTAATTTTGCTGGATTAGTTAACGAAATTATTTTTGTTCTATATATATATAGATGATAAATGACATTAATAAAATGAAATATAACTCTAATTATCAATTTTTGGTAAATTTATTGTGCATCAAAAATGTTAAATATAGGATAATAAAAGCCAAATTAGATGGTCATACAAGTGCTTCAGTCAATTTCTCTTCTGATGGTACAACAATAGCTTTTAGTGGTGATGATAACTCTATCCGTCTCTGGAACGTAAAAACATCAAAGGAAATACTCCTATCAGGTAGTTGCGAGAAAGATATTCTCACATAGTTTAAAATACCACTTCAGAATAGCTCCTTATTGTCACATGGTATTTATTATTATTCATTATTTAGTTTATCCTTATTGCACAATACTTAGAATGTGTTAGAATCCTTTGTAAGAAGCTTCAGCAGCACTTATCTTATAAGGACAATCTATTAATAATTATGAGAAAGATTTAAAACCTTTGTTTAAATCAAAAGGAAGTTGCATCTTAGAAGACATAAAGCAAAAATTAAGAACATTACAATTATAATCTTAATCAATTTCTTTTAGTCCTTTGAATAATATGTCTCTTTTGTCTTAATTATTGATCTTCATCTCTTATGATAGATAATTACATGTTTTTCAAAAATATCCGTTTCAGGCAAATGATTACACTATCTTATCCCTTATATTATTAAATTATATTGTCAGTCTTGTGTGTAGGGTATACTTATTGATATGTCTTAAAAAACACTTATCAATTATACTTTATAGTGGCTCACCATTTTAAGAATTAATGTATTATTTTTAAATGAGCTCATCAAACTAGTTCAAACTTAAAAATATCAACATTCATTATGAAATTAAGAAATTGTCTATAATTATTATTGATATATTCATATACAATAAAGCTTACAATAAGGAAAATTTTTGGTCTCTCTATTGATGAAT